ATGCTAATGTGTGAAAACAACAGAGACACCGAGGGGACGTCCTGTTTTGCTTCATATCTCAGAGCCTTTTATCAACACCCAGGCTCGGAGTTAAACACACACACACACACACACACACACAAAAACACCTGGACCTGTCTCAGCTCACAGCTTTATATCTGGTGGAAAAAACAAAAACAGAAACACAACCAACAACAACCTGCAGAAAGCTCAGAGGCGAACTTTACACGAAAGTTAAAGTGAGACAGAAGCAGAAGGCTGGCAGCTTGTAGTTGGGGCTCGTGGCTGTCTGCTGAAATTCACTCATGTTTTTTTCTTTCCTTTTTTTTCTCATTTCAATTCATTTACATACTTAAAAGGGCCAAAACATTCAAGGAGTTCTTGTGACATTGCCAAGTAATCTCTGCGGGAGGGTGATAACATGTCACAGCAGACTACATTTCAAAGCCGAGGAGTCGGGTTTGATTTTCTTCTGGCATCAGACTGAGAACTGAAGCCTTTGTTTAGCAACTGTCCTCCTCTTCCATCATCTAAACTCTAAATGATGTCATCAGCCACTCTACCAGAAGTGGGACATCATCAGCATCCGGCAACATGACTCGAGGCTGTGGCACATTAGACGACTACCTCCCCTCTGCAGTGGTTTCATCATCTGTGTTCTTTTTATCAAGAAGTACTGTAGGAAGCTTTAGTCAGCCCTGAGCCACATTTGTCGCTAAGTAATGACCGCAGGGATCGGAGCGGACACAAATCACCAGCTAAGGATTGTTTAGCATCGATTAGTTCTGCAGCAAGCACCACAACAGCTGAGTCTGAATACAGCTCGAGATAACAGAAATTTCAATGAGACGTATTGAAGTCTATTAATTGAGGTTCAGTTTGCATGTCTGCGCGAGAGGCGAGCTGCTGGGCTGAATTACATGCACATTGTGAGGCAGGCCATTGTTGTTTGCAATCACACGGAGGCTTTGTGAAAAACTGCTAGGCTGTGTGTACCGGTGGTGTTTTTGTCTGAGCAGTTCAAGCAGGAGTCATGAAGCCTGTTCGAATCCTCTTCACGAATGCTTTTATGAAAATACATATGGGAACACGCTGTATCGTAGAGGCGGGACAAGAGGAAATACCCACTCCACTCCAGACTTTAACATTTACCAGCAATGCGAGTAAAACCCCTGGGTGCTATAACTTGCCAGCATAAACAAGCGTGCAAGCACAGTTTAGCAGCAGAAGTCAAATCCTTTACCCCCAAAGTTGGTCAGAACTAAACAAAACAACAGGTGATTAGTTAAAAATGTATAGACAGGTGAGTGGTTGCTATAAATGGCGAGGTGAAATTGGTTGCAAAGAGGAATTTCGTGCTTGCAGGGAAGATAACGACTTGTTTGCAAACAGTCACCAACCAAGAAACGGAAAACATTTGCCTTCAAAGCAAGTCTTTGCAAATAAGTTAGCTTCTTCCATGCTAACTAATGAATGTGGCAGTTTGCTAGTGACCAAAGCAATTGTTTGGAGGATTTTGATGCAGCACAGTCAGTAACCTTCAGCAACCAATCACCAACCAGTAAGGGAACACGTATTTTTTCTTCTGTTTTTTTGTAACTGGAGGTTGCCAACCAGTCTCTAGGCCTGTGATGTCATAATGATTCAAACAGATGTTGTAAACCAAACTGAATGTGTTACTTTAAAGGCTTAATAATCATTTTTGTCAAAAAAGCAACAAAAAGTTTCCTGTGAAGCATTTTCTCTGCACGTAATTTTGGGGATATGTGTAGACATTGTTGCAACTGTAAACAAGGGTTTTAAAGGTTTCCATCACTAACTCTAACAGTTTTCTGAGGACTCTTTTCAGGATTAAAAATCTTTGAGTCCAGTTATTAAATCTAATATAATCCTGAATAACATCAGTGTCACAAGCTGTCAGTCAAGCCATCCGAGTAAACTATGCAACAAAAAGTTCTACAGCAGTACCACTGGATCCTTTTGGAGGTATAGTTGAAATAATTCCAGAACTGTCTGTGTATTTTTTTCAATCTTTCAAAAACTCTAAAATTTCAGTGTTTCCACTGGCTGTGCAAATCCAGTATTAATGAGGCTTTGGTCTAAAATGTAAATACATCATTTAATCAAGAGAGATTTATTTCCTTTCATGTCCACTGAGTCGAAATTTAATTTCCTTAACATTAAATTTTTTTAGCCCCATTGACAATGAAAAAACAAAACAAAACATCTGCACTCTCATGAATTGTTTTTTTTTCTGAGCCCTGCTTTTATTCATGCTTTGGATTAAGGCTTGGAAATTTAAGCTGTTACTAGAGCAACGATTAAAATATAATCCTTTTGTCAAAGGTAATCAAAAATGATCTTTTAAAAGCATCTTTGATAATTTGTGTGCGCCTCTATAAGCACGCCTGGAGGGTGGTGGCTTGTCAGGCTATTGCACTACCCCTCACAATTTCTGCGCTCACAGCTGGATTAAAAGTGAGAGTTTAATGGTTTCGCTTTTGCTTGAGTGGAGCTTCTTTTGACCTCTGCTGTGGTCTAATGGTTTCGCTGTGTGGCCACTTCAGGGACCAAGGGGACACTGAGAACATGAGAGTCTTGCTGGCATTCATCGGTGGCATTAAAATAATTAAATAAAAATGAATGCACATGTGACATTTCCAGTTTAAAATCCATCTGTTGTTGGGGAGGATGTGTTCAGTTCCCACAGCTGTAGGGGTGTTTGAAATGAAGCTAAACACAACATCTACATCCATCTGGAGGGACAGAAAACACGATAAGAAAAGCCAAGCACAACTAGGAGGCAGTCACGCCATATGGGCTGTTAGTGCGCGTGCACGTGTGCGTGTGAGAAAGAGCCAGTTATACGAGACTTTTGTAGAATTAACATCGTTTTACCTGAAGAAACGCTGACGAAGGAGACAGTCACAAGTAGTAAATTGGCAACGTTCATCTCCTCACTCTCCCGGTGCCAAATCCGCCGGAGTCTGCAGCTCTCTTGAGGGACTCAGCGTCAAAATGATCAGTTAAACCAAAACTCCAGTCATGGAAAAAAAAGAAAAGAAAAGAAAAGAAAAAACGGATTTTACTAAAGAAAACTAGCCGAGCTGATGGCTTTGAAAACGAAGTCTCAGCTGGAATATTCAAACGTTTCAGATCAGCCTGAAAAAAAACTTTGATGTCACTCCCAGAAACCCATGACAGCAGCAGGATCAGCATCAGCACCGCCCGGGAGGAGAAACCTAATAACAAAACTCAACAGCATCACTTCTTAGTGTCCGCATGGTCGCTCACACGCACAGTGACTTCTTCCTAAGATGCCCCCTCTGCTGCTGCCGAAAACAAAACAAAAAAATAAAAAATAAAATAAAATAAAAAAGATGGGGTGGGGGGGCTTAGCTATATTTAGCCCGGTCATAAATAAAACAATTCCTCTCCTCTTCCTCTGCTCAGAGTCGGGCACTTGCGGGTTGCAACGTCAGTTTGAGCGAATATGAAGCGCTGAACATGCCGAGCCGAGCTGCGCACTCCCAGATCCGCAACAATCCTCGCCAACCTCCAGGAGTCTGTGTTTTAAAGAGACAGACACGACATCTGCGCTCTCAAAGTGCCCTCACAGGACGGGAGCGTGAAATAAAACTTGCAGAAGGGGCGCAGCTGCTGGTCTTATTATGAACTGTGGTAGTATAAGCGTCAGTGTGGAAGTCACTTTTATTAGAAATGATACTTGTGTTTCAGGTAAATGGTGTGTTTTTAATGTCTATATTGGCTAATGACAAAAATACTGAAAACTAATTATGGCTAATAATGTGAAGATCTTAAAGGTGGTTTTATGTCTAATATTAATGTAAGCCAATAGAAATGCTCTTGGGTTGTAATGTAGGGCAGCATTACAATTTCAGGGTCACACAAAAAGGTTGAGAACCAGAACCAGTGGGTTAGAGGGTAAATCCTAGACTTAATGTTCAGATTCCAAGAGTTACATGGCAAATATGGGGATTTTTAATGCCTTGGCGTTGGCATCAGCATAGCTTGGCCAGAACTGCATTGCATTTTTGACTTGGGAGTCCATCCATCTCTTTAATGCCTGAATAAAAATGTCCTCAAATTTGTAACAAACAAATACTTGGACCTGGAAGATATAACTTCCTTTAATTTTGGTGATTCAGGTCAAAAGTTCCTTTAACAATAAAAATTAATTTTGGCTGCAGCTCAATAATCTATGAAAAACTACAGACATTTTTAGATCAACATCCCAGGATAAAGTGCTGAAGTGTTGACGCTTTTCTGGTCATTTAATCCGTGCGGTAACTTGGTAACAGCAGGACAAGTTAAATTCAGTTTTATTTATTTAGTTTTAGTTCACAGCCACAGTCATCGAGCAGCACTTTATATTGAAAGATAAAGACATATATAGACCAATGTTACAGAGGAAACACCGCCAATCAGACCATCTCTACTGAGCTAGCACTTGAGGACAGTGGGAAGGAAGAAGTCCTTTTTCACAGGAAGAAATCTCCAAGAAAATCAAGCCCAAACGGTACAGTGGGTGCAGGAGCAGTCTGAGATTAAGAGGAAAGATTTTGCTGATGATAGAGAGATGATAAATAGAAAAAGGACAGACTACAGCAGTTACTAACATGAAGTTGTGAAAATAATAAGAGGAAAGTGGAGGTAAATACTCAGAGCGTCATGGGTCCTCAGCAGAAGCAGAGACTACAGCAGAATAACCAAGGGATGTTTCATGGCCACCTGATCTGGCCATCCGGACATCATTTTAGTAGTAGACAGGGTGTCTGTCTCCTGAACCCAAACTGGGAGCTGGAGAGAGGAGCCTGGTAGTTTGTTCTACTTTTAGAAACTAGGAACCGCAAGAAGCCTGCTCTCTGAGAAGGAAGCGCTCTGTTGGGACCATATGATACTCTGAGGTCTGTAAGATATGATACTGTCTGATCATCTAAGATTTTGTATGCGGGGAAGTTAAATCTGGGCTTAACTGGGAGCCAATGAAGAGACAATAATAAGAGAGAAATATGATCTCTCTTTCTAGCTTCCATTAGTACTCTGTGTGCTTCAGTGTGTTGAATCAACTTAAGGCTTTTCAGGGAGCTTTTAGGACAATAGCCCTAAATACAGTAGAATCGTTTTTCATAAATCTGATTCAGGATGTTTCTAATTTTGGCACTTTTGTTTTCCATCAACTTCCATCCAGGGATACAACCTGGACCAGATGGTAGTCTATTACAGGGCTAACACAGAGAGACAGACAACCATTTACACCTACAGACGATTTAGAATCAGCCTTTAACCTAACATGGATATTTTTGGACTGTGGGAGGAAGCGTGGGAGAACAAGGTACCGGCAGAACATGGAAAATCCACACAGAAGAGGCTCAGCACCAGGTGGATTCAAGCCCAGACCGTGCTCTAACCACACCACTGCACCATGCCGCCTAACATTAACTTAATTATTTATCAGTCATCATTACAGATGTTATAAGAGTCTGGGCGGACATGGACATAAAAGCATTTTGGGATTCAGAGTCTTGCTCAGGAACACTGATTTGTGACTCCATGCTCTGCACAATGCTATTTTAAGTTTCCTCAACCTCAATAAAAGCTACATTTATTCAAGTAAAAGACTGTGTTTTCCTTTAAAGTGACACCAAAACAGTGTCAGTGAGGTAAAGTTTTTAATGATTAAAACTTAAATTGAGTTTTTTCATTTCTATTATCACCTATTAAATTGATATTTGAGTCATTTTTAGCCACTAGTTGTTGTATTCACTTTATTAGTTCCTTTTTCTTGACACTTCACATACATGAGTCTCAGTTTCTGGACGCTCACAAAGATGAAACTTGTTCCTCATGCTTGCTTGTGCATTTTTCCCTTTTCCTTTTGCTAAAAAGCCCCTCGTGAGAGGTGCTTCGAAGTAACAATCTGAATTCGCGACAACTGCCATTGTTTATCCGTAATCACTCCAACACCTCAGCACAGCCATAATTGCTCTCTCACTTTCATCATCACTGTCGCTGCTGCTGAGGCTGATAATGATGACAGAGAGCGTCAACCGTGTGTGCTAACATGTCCTGCGTCCTCTCCACTTCACATCATCTCAGTCCTGCTGTTTGTCATCCTCATTCTGTCGAGATTTGTTCAGCAGCTGCTGTTTCACACCCACTCTTCCACAATCTGGCCCTGCTCTAGCCTCTAGAGTTTGGCCGGGGTCTTTCTCTCAGGGAGCTCTGGACACAAACAGTTCCCTTGGGGCAGGGCCCAGACCCATTCCTCGGTGCCGTTGCTTCATCTCCCTCCACCTCATTGTGCTCATGTCAAGTTGTGAAAGTCCAGCATGATTGAGAGTGACTTTTGGATGCTTGATGCCTGCTTTCCTTTGTCCCTTTGAATAGGACTGGAAATTGTGCAACAGAAGAGGGGGTCCAGATGTCTGTTGCAAGGCAGGAGACAAAGAGGGGCCCCACAATAGATTCGATCTCTGCTTCTGTGGAAGTGTGGACCTTATTAAGGGCCACAATGGCAAAGTAGGTATAACACAGAGGCATTTCAACAAGAAAGTGGCCAGAGTCCTGGAGGTATCAGGTGGAAATAAAGGTCTTATTTTCCGTGGAAAACCTCAGAGAAGTCATCAGTAAATAATGCTGACCCGATTAACAACATTCTGCTTGGATGTAGTTAGAGCTGTGTCTTTGATGTTTTCCTTTCTCCTTTGTGAACATGCAAAGATAATACAGGAGTACTTCCAAAACTCCCCTGTTTTACTTGTTTTTGCATCTTTCATTAAATCGGAGTTCTTATGAATCAGATTGTTTTTCAGTGCATAAGCGAATAATCAGTGGTAGTCATTAGACATTCAGCCAAGGCTGTAGTTATTTGTACATGCCTGCTGATCAGCTCAGCTTTGAAACATTTCAATTAAAGGAGCAGATGCTGTGGGAGAGAGTGTTGCACCTATTGTGTTCAGAAGGTCGTGGAGCTCATTCAACAATAAGGTTCGACACTGGCCGGGTTTCTGTTTGAATGTGTTGTAATTACAACCAAATTTTGGGGAAAATGTGAAAAAGAAAATTTGAATGAATTATGTGTGACCACTGATATTAAAGCAGTTTTATCCTTAAAATGTCGAGATAAAATGTCAGTGGTGCTAATTCTGCTATTAAAACAAAAAAGGAGTCACGCAGAGAGCGTCAAAAACTAGAAAAGTATGGGGAGAACTTGATGGGAACTTTTACAATGGTGCCAGGTGTTAGTTATGAGTTTTTAAAGTCAAATTTAATGTAAGATTATTTTATTAGCTTAAGTTTTGAAAAACGTGTTGTTCTAACACACTCATATACAGTTAGACAGACAGACAGACAGACAGACAAACACATAGATAGATAGATAGATAGATAGATAGATAGATAGATAGATAGATAGATAGATAGATAGATAGATAGATAGATAGATAGATAGATAGATAGATTTCCCAAGATTGTGTGTGTATATATGTGTGTGTTACATCCTTGTAACCCTCAACAAGGTGGTCTTTTCTTTTCTTTCTACTCAGTATCTTTTTCCCCTTTTAGGATTAAGCAGGATTTAAGGTGACACTTGGTCTTTTTTTCCCCTTTGCTGTAGGTGTGTGTGTATATGTGTGTATATGTGTGTGCTGACAGTACAGGGAGGTACAGATGGTGGGATGTGGCAGTCTGTCTGACTGCGGTGAAGAATGTGAGATTCAGCTGTCGGCCTCTCACCACCCCCCCGGCTCTGACCTTATGTGGCTCTGATCACCGTCTGGCTCCATCTCATTATGACAAACTCCATACTGTTTCACTTTCGCAGCAGCCACAGCACTTACCAAAAAAAAAAAAGAAAAATCTCGAATCTTGCTGATAAAAGCTGACATCCCTCTCAGGATGTTTGGATCCCGTTCGCTGCCACTAATTAAGCTCCTCTTATCTCTTTTTACATGATCGAGGGTCCTCTAGCTGCTGACCTGCTAAGATATCTTGTCAGCAGATTTCATTAGTCACAGGAGCAGGGGTTTTGTTTCCCCGGTGTGTGTATGTGTGTGTACTGTATGTGTGTGTGAGAAAATAGCCGGGGGGACTGTAGAGTTTATTTATAGGCTGAGTGTCACAGCAGCACGGGGCCAACAGCAGAAAGTCATTTACATTCAATGCACCAGAGTGCAAAGGTAAGCAGCTACTACTGCACCAACATTTGACTCAAGAGCTTTTTTTGTCTTCTTAAATCTGCTGGGACCCTGACCAGCAGAGGGAGCAATACATGGCAACGTGGCTCCCCCTTTGTCACGCTCTTAAATGGTGCTGTCACATTATATTGTTTTAGAGTGGTTTGAACTGAGCACGTGGCTGGAAGAGCCCTGGAGGAGCCCTGCTGCATCTGATAAGCTTATATAAAAGGAGCCTGCATGAGGCTGCTTACAGTACAGTGCACTGTGTGATGAATGTTACAGCTTCTATCTGCTCATTTAACATGTATTTTTAATCCCAAGCCATCATTCATGCACTACAGACAGAATGACAGACGGGCGCTGCAGAGATCAATA